AAAATTGACGAACAAAAGCGTAGAAGGCAACGTGTTGTAGCGTTTCAAGCATTTTAATTAATTTTACGGTTCATCAAGGGAATTAGTTTTTCTCTGGCTTACTGTAATTGGGTTAATAATGAAAATGTAAATAGTTTCATTATCAGTTTGGCTTGTGAGGCTTTCTTTATATTGGAAGGTGCTTAGATAAAAAATGGGTGTTAATTAAAATGATTAGACATTTAAAGACATTAATGATACTTTTTAGTTACAAACTTTAAGATATTGAAATTATTTGTCATGGAATCATTTATGAAAATTTGACTGGATATTACTATCTGTCACTTCGGATACTCTGTTCAACAATATATTGGTATCGATTCTGGCGTGATTCTCTAAACTTAAAACTAAATTTAACATCAGCCTCTCCTTGTCATTCTGCATAGTGAATGACAAGGATGCACTGTTGTCAAATTTAAGTTTAGGTTTAGAGAATCATGCCAGAATCGACATCATTACGTCTGAATCGTCAGTAACTCAGGCATATTATAAATCTGTGTTATTCAGATGTAGACATTATTGATATTCTAAATATATTAAAGTATTGCTATTTATTTCTTCGATGGAGGAGCTCGATGGTGCAAGTGGTTAGCGCGTTCCGCTGCGATCGTTGAATTTAAGCAACTTTCACTGAGGTCGATCATTGGATGGGTGACCGAAAATTTACTATCTCAAATTCCTCCGTGCTTCGGAAGGCACGTTAAGACCCACCAAACCGCACTGGGCCCTCGTGGTGGGTCATGGCCCAAAACTATATATTTCATCCATAGGGAAGGCCTGTGCCCCAGCAGTGGGTACATTAATAGGCTGATGATGATGATGATGATGATAGCCTAAAGACGCTTACGATATCAAAAATATCATTCGCACCTTGATGCTTGAAATAGCTTAAAAATCATGTTATTAGTACGTTTACATATCCTCTACATTTATTTTTTAAGTTTCTAATTAACTGAAAAATAAAATGTAAAAATTAACCCACATTTAATTCAACGATTATCTTTGCCATTATCTGCAGGGAGAATCGCACAGTGCCTACATTTAAAGCCTCGCAAACAAACGTAAGCTCCAGTTTTCGTAGTAAAAACTAGTGCTATCGCTTGTGCAGTAAATCTCTGAGCACCACGACCCAACAAATTACTGCCAATACCGTAGATATGGACGGTTGCTATGGTAACCGTGAGAAAGCATGCCACCACGGCACCGGCCAAGGGAACTGCGATCGTTGTGCAAGCTTTATCTTTGGCTGTATTCATTTGTTTTCCTATTTAAATTTTGGAACGAATTTATCTGTAACTACTTTGAAGAAAGCAAGAACCCCTTTTTTTCTGTGTCGAGATACCTAAGTCTATATATAGTATCAAATTATATCAAAGTATGGAAGCTCCTAGCTAGACCACATATAACTATTTCCTTTTTTGAATTTATAAAAGAACTAGCTGTGCCCCGCGGTTTATTAGGAATATTTTCCCGTAGTAAAACGTAGCCTATATGTTAATCCAGGGTGTTAGCTAACTCCATAATAAATTTTATTAAAATCGTTCCAGCCGTTTAGACGTGAAGAAGTAACAAACATACACACTCACAAACTTTGGCCTTTATAATATTAGTGTGATGATGACTCTACCTTATATATATAAATATACCTATCTACCCATATTATACGACTTCCTCTTAATATAAACTATGTACACAATTAAAATTTTACTTCCTATTTAATAAAGAAAAGATTTGTGATCTCTAAATAAGGTTAAATTAAACACGAGCTAAAATTATTTTCATCCTTATCCACATAGTTTTATTTACTTATTGCTAAAAATAATTAAATTTAGATACAATACAAAATTTGAGGAGCTCGATGGCGCTGGTGGTTAGCGCGTTCAGCTGCAATCGTCAAAGTTAAGCAATTTTCGCAGTGGTCAGTCATTGGATGGGTGACGAAAAATTTTCTAACTCGAGCTCCTCCGTGCTTTGGAAGGCACGTTCAGCCGTTGGTCCCGGCTACATCTGCAGTCGTTAGCACCCACCAATCCGTACTAGGCCCACGTGGTGGGTCATGGCCCAATCTCCCTATTCCATCCATAGGGAAGGCCTGTGCCCAAGCAGTGAGGACATTAATAGGCTGATGATGATGATGAATAATACAAAAAAGTTTAAAATAATTTTAATTTAAACAGTTAAGTAACACTATCTTTTGGTGGTGTTGTGTTTCTGTCGGTTCCAAGGCTCCACGGGATAGGGGATTGGGTCAGGGCTGGCAACAGCGCCAGTGATGTTTTTTTGTATCGCAAGAGTCTAAAGTTCATGGTGGCCGCTTACTATCAAGCTTGATTTTCTTGTTTGCCACCTTTTTAATATGATCAAAAAATAAACTAAGTAAAACTGCGGCGTAAAATTAAAGAGCCCTTTTACAAAATTGTGCCGCTGCCGTACTGATCGGCGCGTGGGTAGATTTGCACTAGTATATAATGCATTTTACGGGTGATGTTACGGTCCGAGTCTTATAAAATAATTATTAATAAACTTATTATAAAAGTATATACATATTTCAGTAGTTCAATGATGGTAGATTAGTTTTGAGAAAGTTTTTGATAGTAATTCTATTCAATGCAATGTCAAAATACGAGGTAAACCTGCATTGTTTTTTGGGAAAACTCACGGAGGTTAGATGGTTTTTTTTGATGAATAATGAGATGGAAAATCAAAATTCTAATACATTATGTTACAGCAAAAGCATATTTCTGATGTCGTAGTAATTAATTTGATCTAATTTGTAGAACATTACTTAGAGATTCCGGCGTTTGAAGTTGTGCATAATATCGTTTTTTTCCGTAAACTAGCTGCGCTAGAACAATCAGTACAAAAAAAGGAAAATAGTATTTGTAAATATTCTACATTAACTTTCAATAGGAAGAATAAATGTACTGTTTACTTTTATTGGAAATAGTAAAAAAAATCTAAGGGGGTAAATGAGGCGCTCAAAATTACGATTTTTTGCAAAATATGTGAAAGGGCTCTTAAGGCCGAGAGTTTAGTTCAACAAAAAGCAGTTCCTAATGTACATTAAGTTGCGTTGTCATTTTGTTAAAAAGCTAACCAACTTTGCTAAGTCATCGCTTGTTTATTTTTATACGAACAAAACGTGTCAACTCAAATAGACATATTCTTTACTCTATTTCTGCATTTTTACCAGAAGTGAGGGTCAATGACACATTATTTTAAAGTTGATCTATATTTCACAAAAAACTGAACAATTCGTTAAAAAAACGAGTGCTCGTCTTTCCTTGTTTGTGCGATTCGCCCGTGTTGATTGTACGAGTGGGAAAGAGATGGCTATAATTTGTCGGTGTGCCAGCGTAGTGGGCAGTCTTTACAAGCGAACCGTGACGACTGTTGTGTTTGAAGACGGAGCTATTACGCGGTACGAGTCGGGAGAATGTTGTCGTCTCGCTTTCTCTTTTTTTTTCTGGCGTTAGATTGTTGACAGCCGGTGATGCAATTGTAGTGTATTATGAAGGTTATGATTATCGGATAGCAATTACTAATGAGCCTTGTTTTTCTTTTTTTTCTCTTTCATTTGTTATTGTCGGCGAAATCTCTTCATGAAAATGCCATACCTGCGTACTTAACAAAATATTGGAAATGCTTGTTATTTGTAATTTTTAGTTTTACTTTAATGAATTTAAAGAAAAAATTTAATATTTTTGTTTTTAGAAAAAGGTTTACATAAAAACATTAGAACTTTTTGCGAGTCCAATTTGTGATGCGTTGATGTCTTTTACTTAAACTGTTTGAGAGATCACAATTTTAGGGACGAATGAAGTTCGAATTCTTAAACAAGAAATATTACGCTTGCAGAATTGAAACCTGTGTTTGTCAAAAAAATATTGGTATTTCATTACATAAAAAAATGCGTAGCATGCAATGGATTTTTTTGTTATACTCGTTTAAATTAAGCTTCACTTAGTAGGTACCTATTTTCACATATACTCTGTGTGCTCTGTAAATTTTTAATAGAAATTGTACCAACCTGAGATTTTACTATTCTCTATTTATCATTTCAGAATGAAATGTCACCGTTTTTATACATTTCTTTTTCTTCTCAGCGTCTCTATTTAATTCTCAATTTTAAAATACCTACTATCAATTAAAAAATAAATATTGTTTAGCTCAATATCCTAAGAATCACATTATTAATTCTTCCTACCTACTTAACTATTTTCTGTCAAGTTTCTTTTCCTGTAAATACTTTATCGACAAAACCAAGCATTTAAAAATTTTAATATATTTGCGAAAGCTAGTTCACTTGATACTAGTTGCATCACAAGAGCTGCATGAGTTAAAACTTATAATTAACATAAGTTTCAATCTTATGTGGATACAAGAACTTCGCTGGCCGAAACGGATACCTAACTCACAGCTGCTTAAATACCCATAAAATGCATAAATAGTAAACTGCATGGAAACTGTAAAACAAATTAGACTATTTCAAGCATTTCTTGAGATCCTCATAGTATTTATAATGACTTGTTGAATTACACGTTTTTATTAAGCCCAGCGAATCAAAGCTCTAGACATTTTAATGGAGTCGTAACCTCATCTGAATTAAAGCCTGCTTTAAAACATTTCAACACTTAAGTTTTTTCATTGACAAAACTACTTAACAGAAAAAAACATCGGCCGATTCACCACGGCTCATAAACCCGAGCATTCATAACTCGATAGAATAATCCCGCTTCAAAAAATAAACCAACTCCGTAACACCCGTCAGAATCAAAACAAAACTAAGTCGAGTCATCAACATCAGTCAACGAAGATGCTTTAAACCGTTAGACGTATATCGCCTTAGTCCTTTCCGTGAGAAAATCTTCGTATCGACAGCTCTAATGCATCCTATACGATACGGAGATGGAGGCTGAGGTTTCACGGGTCGAAAAGCGCGCGAACGCAGTGTAGCGCCGATGCCCGTGCGCACAGCACGCTCACACGACCGCGCGTGCGCGACTGTCAAAACCGCGGTGACAGCGACCGAAATCCAACTCGGACTTTTTTTTGAAAATGGAACCCATGACATCCGACCTCTTTTTAGTTGATCTGACTTAACTTTTTTTTTACACTTCAAGAAACTCAGTGAGGACATCAAACTCGTTTAGCTTAACCTTTAAAGAGTTTTCATTCCCTTTTAGTGAATTTAAGTAATTTTACTAGTGGTTACTTAGAAGCTTATTAGAGTGTTTCGAATTAAGTGCTAAACGTTTAGTAAGGTCTACTTAATTCTATTAAGTGATAACAAGGGCGTGAAATTTGACTCAAAGTGTGAACTGATAAGGTGTGAACTATTCGATTTTGCGCAAATATAAGTGAAGTTAATTTTCCAAATTTGACATTCCTAATTCGTGATTTATCTATTGGAAAGGATTGGTTTATGATAAAAGTTTTGGTGAGTCTCAGTTCTGTGTTAAAAATCTTAAAGTAAGAGAAGGTATCTTAGTCAGAGCATCTAGATATTTTTTTATAGACAGTTCCGAAAAATGACTCCACCCCACCTGATGTTAAGTGACGGTGAAGTCCAGACGCGAAGATAGCTGGTACAGCTGTTCTGTCGGCCACTTCAGCCATCCTCACCCTCGGCCTGCATGTTGCTTCTTCACGCCTCTTTTAAGGATCCCAGGTTGTAAGAGGGAGGGAACACGTGAGCGGGTACGTGTTGGAATAGTGGCCACAGTTAGTCGGTGACAAAGTTTAGTGTGAGTTATTGCAGAAGAAGGACCGACACAATGGAATCATATGTAGGAAAAGTGTACCTACTGATATGGCATAATGGAGCCATAGCAATAGATCCAAGTGAACACAGGGTATACACCCGGGCAAACTTCTTAAGCATCGACCATAGATAAATAAGCCTGCGCAGTCGCAATTTAACAAACAAAAAACGTCTACTGCTCAAGTTTATTTCTTTGTTGTTTTCTCAGGACGTTTGCAGCTATATATACAGTCGTCTTTAATTTCCCAGACTCAAATTGCCAAAAGCAGAAACGATTTTATGCACGTGCACAGTTGATTATGCAATCTCGTGCAAGTTATAGGGACTAAGTGTAGTCGATCGAAGTTGCGAGTTTCCGCCCGAAGCCAAGCGCTAACTCGCGGGGTCGTGGGGTCACCGATAAGATTTATAGAGATTCGCCATATCACAATAAATGTTACTAAATAACTACCACAGTTTTAAAAGAGTACACAGATGGAGATTAAGTTCTTTAACTGTCAGCCTTGACAGTTATCTTTCCGTCTGGTTACCACTTTTATTTATCGCAAATAAGTACCTAAACCTAGATTTTTTTTGACTTATTTATTTGAAAAACAATTAATTATTGTTTACTCAGAAAAATATATCGTTTTTGTTATTTGAAAATTTCGTACAACTAACAATTTGCGTTGTTTCATACAAGCGTTCAGAAGCTTATATCAGACCAAGTTTAGACAAGGAAGATAGGCAGTGTATACTTTCATAATAATTCATAAAATATACACAATACTTACTGAGGTTCACAGAAATATAAGGCAAGGAAGTGAAATCGACAACTCTATATTTAAACTTTGAAGAAAATAAATAAACCACTAAAAATTTTGCAATTCCCGCACTCTAACTGGAGAAACCGTAAGCGTTGCAGAACGCTAATGTGATGGATCGCGGTTTGATCCTTAAGGACGCCATTAAGAAGAGGTGATGGTGAGCGCGGGGATGGCGGTAATGATTACGCGGTGTTTGGCGAAGATACAAGAATAGAAGTAGCTTCCCTGAATTTGGCCCCTAGAGCCTCGAGGTCCACGGGGTCGAGGGCGGTGGTGATCCTGATCGCGAGATCCGCATCGGAATCGCTAGAGCCAAGGGCCATCGCTTTGCCCGTTACAAAAGGAGCGGACGCGGTTGCGGAGACGGGTTTGGTGGGTTGAGCCGCCGGTGGCTTGGAAAGCCGTTGAGAAGGGTTCTTAAGAGGGACCGCGGAGGAGGGCATCGGCGGCTGAGAAGCAACCACCTTCCGTCAAGCGAGGGGAGCGAGTATGGTAGCGGGGTGGAGGGCGATCGTTCCCTGAGCCTTTGCCCTCTGCGGGACCTTAGGACAGCCGTGGTAATTTGCGGTGTGCTGGCCGCTGCAGAGAACACAGCTCGGTGGGTTTTCCAGTACCGGGCCCTCGGCCATGGGCAATCCTTCGTACCGTGGTCAAACGTGTATTTGAGGCACCGAGCACCGGGCCGAGTGTCCGTATAACTGACAGCATTGACCGACAATGCCACGCTTACGTGGGGGCTCCATGCGGATATTTGACAAGTGACAAATGGCCTTGATGGAGAAAATTTTCTTTCCCTCGGGGGAAAGATCAAGAATGACCAAGAAAAGTTCATACGGCTGCCTGTCCTTAGTGAACACGGAGTTTACAGAGTGCGAGGGAATGCCTTGGGAATGGTGAAACTGGCATAACATATTTAAGACGCATTATTTTTTCCAGTTGTATTATTACTTAAATTAATCAAATAATTGAATTTGACTCAATGTTGTTTCCAAGGAGCCTGTAAATAAAAGAAAACATAAAAATGCACTTTATAGGTAACCGTTAAAAAAATTTACAATATTGGCGTCCGTGAAAGCATACTTAATAAATTATTCTCTGACTCAATTGCACCACAAAGTTCTTAATTTAAATTTAAAAGCTATTCGTAGGTAAACCTCATTTTTGTCTCTATTCGTCTTTAAACATTTGACAAAGATGAAATGAGGTATTAATAATTTAAATTAATAACTGTCGTCAAAGGGGGCCACTGACTCTGATTCCAGTGATACTTCGGTACTGACACGGATAAAAGTTTTATTTTGACTCTCCATTACCATCAACATGGTATATCTTAAAAGAATCTCTTAATAATGGATATGAAACGCCCTTAATAGAATACACCACCCTACAGAAGTTTATTACCACATTTAAATAAAACTGATCGCACATATGTCAGCACAGTACGTACCGCATTCAGAATTCGTTGTATGCAATCATATGAAGCCTCGCATACTTCCACCCGTACTGAACGCGCAGCAAGGACCGAATTTCCAGAAAGACTTTACGAAATGCAGCGTACGTACGGTGCTGAAATATGTATGATCACCTTAAAACTACCTTTTGATGGTGTTTTTGTTTTGAGTGTGTATGCTGCTGGTCGCAGATGACCTTTACAGCGTCACCGGGTTTGGGGACGGCGAGATCCTAAGGCAGTGTTTCCTAACCCTTCCAACACTGCTACTACTGTAACCTATTAGGGAAACAGATTTTACCCCGACTTTAAAATGTTATCATCAGTCCAAGAAATTCCAATTTGGCCGCTACATCTTCGTCTCTACTAATGTCATTATCAGGAGAGAATCTCGCCCTGCTTCCCACACTCAGCACCCCGCGGGCTCACTAGCAAGAAGGAGCGCATGCTATATTTAGTAGTATTATTTAGATTTGACCAAATAATAAGGTACTTTGTTACCCTCGAAGTATGGCTGATTTACCCCCGGAGGGGTACTTACCCCCAGGTTCGGAACCCAGGTCTTAAGGGGACCCCAAGCTGAGAATGTGCGAGTGCCTCTAGAGGTATTCCAGGCGGATGGCATTTCCCCACGAGGTAAGTCTCCTCTCCGTCTGGAGCCACTAGACCAATCGAACCTGAGGTGGTCGGCTCAACTAGAGGGCGTGTCTGAGACTAGGACCTCGGCTCTAGTTAGCCGTTGTCGTGGGGTTGATGATGTTGCGTTTCTGTCGGTGACTAAGCTCTACGGGGTACAGGGTTGGGTTCAGACCGACCAGGTGAGGATGGCTGAAATTGCAGACTATTTTGCTGTATCAGTTTCCTTCGCCACTGGACTCAAATTTACGGCCTCGTTGGGAGAGGGGGGGTGAGGTAATTTGCTGCGTTTTTTTTTGTAAAACCTGCTGACCCGGTGAAGAATGAAGAAGGTGGGAAAATGAAAGCTGTCCGTTCGACAGTCAGCAATTGTTTAGAGAAATCTACTGTAGATTGATCGTTCAGGAATGTAACTTTTGTATTTACTACCAGCATAAAATTCATTGCATGATGTTACAAATAAGATTAAATTAAGCAAGCCTTTATTTCATTGGCAGTAGTCGATCGTGCAATAACTGCCACTGTTTGGCGGAAATCTTTGGACAGTAAAATCATCCCGCCCCCAAAACAACTTTATGTAACTTTTTTTTCTAACAATATGGCTGTCATTCCAGTGATAGCAAACAGAACCCTAATTGCAGCTTCGCCTCGGCCATCAATGCCTCTTTTGCTGGCCGGTGCAGTAATGTTTTAATTGATGACACAACGGATTTTAATGTTTCATTTGATTTTTTACCAATAGCTAGAGTGATCTAAGATTTTTTTTAAGTATAATACAGGCTCGAGAACTACAACTACAGTCTTTACGAAGCGAAGCGATGACGGGTCACTGGTTATAAATGAACAATGAATAAGTTACCTAAGTTCATAGTACTTATTTTCTCTATTCAAATGAGATTTTATATTTTAGTCAAAAGAACAAAGCGCTTCGTAATCGCATACTTTACCAATGTAATAATTAACTGGAAACTATGCTTTAGATGTAGATTAAGTGTGTTTAATAACCTTCACATAATTCAATACACACTTCGAAGCTTATTAGCAGAAAGCTCAAAACGTTTAAAAAAAACAATGTTGACAGTTGATTGACTGTATAAGTTTAATTTCAAATATGGAAGACGCCTCAAACGTTGTTTATATAATAAAAAAGAAGATCATAATATCAAAGGAGGTTTCAAGGTGTAAATCTCCTTCAAAACTATTATACGACCGATTAAAAACGTCGCAATTGTAATAGAATGATAAGTGAACAAATACCTACTCTAATATTTTTTGTGGGCGTTCCGTTTAATAGGTCAAAAGGATGACGCATTCAGAATTTGAAATATATTTATTCGTCGAAACCATACGAGAATAAATTGGTCATTCTCATATATAAATACCTACTCTTACCGTAGACATTAATTATGACTTTTACAAATGAATGTTAAAAAAAGATATAGGTAATTTCGAAAGCAGAATTTGCGATTTTTTTTTATAATTATGTTCATTTTTACACAAATTATACTAATGATATATAATACTAATGATAGCCAACAAACGTGTTGAATTTTTATAAGAAACAGATCACTAGCTGACTGATATCTGATTCAAGTTGATACTTTAAAGTAAAAAAATCTTAAGATAATAAATAGTCTAGCAGATTAATAGCTGATAAACTCCTTACTAATGAAACCACTCTCTGGATGGCCCCGCGGCTCGTTCACCATTTAAAAAAAATATATATATACCAATTTATATGTTGAACTGAAAGCATCGTACATGTTATAATCTAACAATCCCAT